AAAAAAAAAAGGTCCCTGATTTAGAAGGAACCCACACTTTCACATACAAAGATGTGTCGTAGTGTTTGTGTGCCACTCCCGCCACTGCCCGTGGGTGTGGGGGCATGGCTGCTCACCTGTGCAAGACTCCAGTAAGAACAGAACCTGCTGCAGGTCCGACTCACAGAGGTCAATGTCAGTGCGTGCCAGCTCCAGCTCCGCCTTCAGCACCAGGAACAGGGCACACCTTGTTGGGAGAGGAGATGACAAGCAACTCGTGCAAGTCTTTGTGTTCCTGAGTCCATCTTCCTGTCCCTTTCACTGGCAGCACTGGGGCAGGCTCCTGGCCTCTGGAGGACCTCTACTCTCTCGAGCTGACTTCAAGTCTACCCTGGGAAAACTCTCTACACTTCTCCCTCATCCCCAGTCATCTTTGTGCACGAGGACAGGATTTCCCAAACCACATTCCCACCCAAAGAAAAGGATCCTGTGGGCAAAGGGACTTAGGGAAACATGGTACACCAGCTCTCCCTTTTGGAGAGTTACAATGTGGATCGGCGTACTGAAGGATGTGAGAAGTCCTACAGGAAATAAAAATGTCTAAGCTTGGTTAAGTCGGCATTTCCTACTTACTGAGCCATGGGATACATTCTCCCAACCCCTCCAAACATAACACGTAAAATCTATGGAAGAGTTTGGGACCCCAGAGTCCAGGATGTGGGCACTCAGGTTCTGGAATGGCCTCCTCTGGCCTGTACTCACTGGTGTGGTAGCTGCAGTTTCGTCGTAAGTTTCAGGGCATCCAAGCAAAAGGCCTTGGCTTCGCTCACACAACCCAGATGGCCCAGGCGGGAGACCAGCTTCTCTGAGCAGCTCAGCACCTCTGTCAGAACCTGCCATTTTTGTACCAGATTTTCACCTGGTACAAAGGAGAGAGACGAGACCACCGTCACTCGGTCACAGCCTGGATCCTCTGGAGGCAAAGCTGGCAGCCCCACCATCTGGCCTGTTCATTCCCACTGGGCCTCGCTCTCCTCCTCAGACTCACCATAGTCCAGAAATGGGGTCTCCACAGCCGCCTTCTGAATCGAGAGCACGTCACTGCCCAGGAGCAGGAGGATAATGCTTCGGAGGAGCTTATGGGAGTCGACGAGTGCAATCTCAGGCGTCTGCCAGCCTGTGCAGGGAGTCGTGGGGGGACAAGAAGGGAGATGATGCCGCCAGAACTGCCACCACCTTCACCTACTAAGATAGCAAATGCAAAACGTGCTGCCGCTGTTCTTCTGTGCCTAAGGCAGACAGAGCGAATCAATCACAGAACTCTTTCCCTCAGACCACGTGGGGCCTCAGAACCCTTGTTAGTATAGCATTCCAGCCAGGTACTAAGCAATCGATCAGTCGGCAGACAAACAGAGACTCATATGCTATCCCAGGCCTACTCTGTGCAGCCTCTAAGTGGGCTAGTCCACACAGTTGGGACAGCAGAGGGGACAAGGGCTTGAGAAGAGCTGAGAGTGGATGATCCACACCATTTGACCACAAAGGGCCATCATCCACCCTATTCTTTCACCTTGGGCACAGAGCTGCTCCCGCAGGGAGGCTGAGAGGCTGTCTGATGAGAGGCTAAGGTACGATGCCACCACCTGCAAGGCCTGGACACGCAGCAAGTACCAGGCCTTGGATGATCTCTGGAGGGCAGGGTCCCGAAGCACAGACAGCAAGAGAGAGGCACCCTCAGTCACCTGGGAGACAGGGAGGGCCAGAGAAGAGTGGTGAGTGAGGTCAGAGCAGCGATTCAGAGCTTAGGATGCCCCTAAAGATCATCTGGCCCAGCCCCTGCTTTTGAGAATGATAAAAGCTGTGGAGAAAACGACAGCCTGAGAGGGCGCAAGACGCAGACAAGTCACACAGTTAGGCTGTGAGAAAACTCAGGTTTTCTGCATCTCACTTGATTTCCAATTTGGGCTCCATTGCCTTCCTGGGATCAATGTCATCTCAGTCTCTAGTCACAGGACAGTGTGACTGAGGCAACTGGGAAAGAATAGAAAGGACAAGGCTGGGAAACAGCACTGCTTCTCACGGTTGGGAATACTCTTCCTAGCTCCAGGGAAATCTCAGAAGCCTGAAAAATATCCCGAAAATCCTAAAAATCCTTCCAATACCTGGGAACTTCAGGGGTTAAGAAAGTGAGAAATACCTTCTGGTGAACACAGTAGAGCTGACTTCGAAGTAGGTTACAGGTTAGCGAAAGGAGCAGGTACGTGTCAGTGTTGTGATCCAGAAGCTTCAGGCTTGAGTCTGCCTCTTCCAGGTATAGCTAAGAAAACAATCATGGGATTCGTGAACATGCTGGTGAGGAAAGGCAGCCAGACTTTTCAAATTAAAGTGGATTAAAACACTTGCAAGTAAAATGCAGAACACCTCCAACTAAGTATTCAATTATTTCATATATTATAATCTACAACATGAGAGTTATTCAATCACTCGCTAAAATGTTCATTTAATATCTTTTGGTTAACCGCTATGTTAGAAAGACATAGCTGAATAAGGAATAAGCAAGACTTTCCATCCAATAGCTTGCAATGCAGTGGGGGTGCAGACACACCTGTGTAATCGTGACACAATGCCATTAGTGGTATGGGGACCCAGGGAAAGTAGGTGATTCTGCCCTTGAAGAAGAGGATGTATAAAATACTTCATGAGGGAGAGGACAATTGAGCTAGGCCTTGAAAAGAAAGTAGAAAAAAGGTGGGTGGAGGAGGTGTATTTAGGGTGGAGGGGCTAACAGAACCAAAGGGAGGGAGGCACATACAAGGCTCTAAAGTAACTGGCGTGGATGGACAGAAGTTCCATGGTGGGGAGTGGCAAGAAAAAACATGAGCCAGGATACAGAGGTGTGCAATACTAAGTAAAGTGTCTAGACAGTATCATCCTACAGGTAATGAAGAAACCAATGAAATCCTTTAAGCAGGAAAAAAGATGAGATCAGATCTGTGCCTTAAAAGATCATGTTAGAAGACAAAAGGGGCCTCCCTGCTGGAGGCAGGGAGACCAGCCAGGTGGTGTTGGAGCAGTCCTAAGGGAGTGGACAAAGGGCGACTAGGGCAAATGGTGGGGAAATACAGGATTAGTGGTGTATTTCTGGTGCAGGATCTATAAGACTTAGGAAACAATGGTTTTGCAGTGAGAAGGAAAGACGCTTCCTCTTCCCACAGCTGCCTCCCAACCACTCCACACTTTACGACCCTCCAGCAGGATGTAGCAATAGAAGGCAGGGAAGATGCCCCTTCAGTATCTTGTCTTCTCAGAGAAAAGATGGGTCACTAAAGCCAGGTCCCCCCGCAGCTCCGGGCTTGGCTGGCTGGGCACTCACCTGGGCATAGCTGGGACAGCCAAGCATCAGGAGCAGCTGGCTGGCGTGGCAGGAGGAGCCGGCTGCCTTCGCGTGGTCCTCCAGTCTCTGGGAGACGATCCGTACGAGCAGGAGGACCTCCAGAGCCTGCAGGGGCTGGTCAGCCAGGAGCAGGAAGTTTACCCAGCTCCTGCTTGAACCTCCCTTTCTACCCTCTGCTCCTCAGCCCTTTGAGACCTTGGTCTGACTTCAGAGCCTGGATGAGGTGTGGCTACAGACAAGGCCACCACCTGCCATCCTCAAGAAGCCTGAGATAAGAGCAGCGAGGAGCCTACCACCATCCAGCCTCCCGCGTGAAAGCTTAGGTACCAGTCAGCATCGACAGCTGGGAGTTACCAAAAGCTTACTATGGGCCAGGCACTGTGCTGAGAGGTTTACATCAGGGCAGGGGGATGGGCGAGACAGGCAAGAGGATCAAGAGGTACAAACTTCCAGTTATAAAATAAGTAAGTCGCGGGGCTGAAAAAGTACAGCACAGAGGGTACAGTCAATAACATTGTGATAATAATGTATGGTGACTTCCTTCACCATGGTGAGCACTGAGTAACGCACGCTATTGCCAAATCACTATGTTGCACGCCTAAAACTAATATAATATTGTGTGTCAACCATACTTCAATTCCTTTTAATGTTTACTTACTTTTGAGAGAGAGAAAGCCTGAGCAAGAGAGGGACAGAAAGAGAGAGGGGACAGAGGATCTGAAGCGGGCCCTGTGCTGACAGCAACGAGCCTGATGCAGGGCTCAAAGCCCTGAACTGTGAGATCATGACCTGAGCGGAAGTTGGGATGCTCAACTGACTGAGCCACCCAGTTGGTTCAAGCCCCACATGGGGCTCTGCGCTGATAGCACGGAGCCCACTTGGGATTTTGTCTCCCTCTCTCTCTGCCCCTAACCTGCTTGCTCTCTCTCTCTCTCTCTCTCTCTCTCAAAATAAATAAAAATACACTTAAAAAAAAAAAAAAAGAATTCATAGATTAAAAAAAAAAAAAAATTGAAGGGACACCTGGCTGGTTCAGTGAGGGGGGCATACAAAGTTGTGAGTTTGAGCCCCACATTGGGTGTAGAGATTACTGAAAAATAAAATTTGAAGTGAAACTTCAAAAGTCATAATAAAAATATCAAATTGTCAAAAAGAGGAGTTCACGTGCATCAGCTCTTTTAATCTTTCATAGTGACTCTAACCCCAATTTTACAGATGACTATAGACTAAGAGGCTTAAGACTCACACAAGTTAAGTTGTTTGCCCAAATTCACATCACAGGTACGGGGGAGAGCCAAGACTCAGATCTAGCGCTGAGGCACCTTCCCTCGATTCTCATGCTAGAAATATGGCCTAATGGCCACAGTAACAAAGATCTTTTTTATGTACCATGTTCTTTTTCGGAGGTTCCTAATGTGGGGTCCAGGGAAGAGCTTCAGGGAGTCTGTGAAATGTCCTGATGTTGCATGTAAAAATGTAAAATTAAACCTATAGGCATCTATGTATGTTTCAGAAAACACACAGCTCAAATTACCTAAGAATTAATAATAACTATATCTGACATTTGAATATGCCACTTAAGGACACCATGAGGTAGTGCTATTACTGTCCTCATTTTAGACACAAGGAAACCTGGGTTTAGGAAGTTACGTCACTTGCCAAGGTGAGTTAAAATAAAGGACGAAGCTTGTATTTCAACTTAGGAAGCCCGGTGAGAGAGGCCACAATGGGCTACATGGCTTCTTAGCAGATAAACCAGCCAAAGAAGAGGAAAGAGTGGGCTTCTGGCGTGTGTTAACGCCCTGCCCCATTACCTTTGCCGCCAGCTGATAGAGGGCTGCTAGGGTCTGCAGTGAGGCTGCCGTCTGCTGGAGACACCGTACAGCGGGGGCTTGTGCCTTTGTAAGCACCTCCTTCCAAAGGGCCAGTGCTTGGTCCAGGCATTTGGACTGAGCTAGAAGTCAGAAGAAAGGGACCGGCCATTCTCTCAGTGTGGGCCATCTGGGGAGAATGCAGCCTTCTTCGTAACGCCCTCTGCCCTCTGTGCCCACCTCCCACCCTACTTCCTTTCCCCTACCTGGGGTCCCCATTCTGCTCTTAGGAAGACACAGAGGAGACCCCATCTAGCACACTACATTCACAACCCTCACCAGCATCTGCAGCCAGGTTGAAGGCAATGTTACTGTATAGGAAACGATCTTCTTGGAGTTTATCTTCATAGTTCAGGTCATTGACTTCAAATTCCTCCAGGTTATTAGGGGCCTGGGCTCTCCGATCCCGCTCGATACCCTAGATCGGGGGGAGGGGGGATCAGGATAAAAAACAGGGCTGGCACCAGCTTACTGTGGGCCTGGGGGAAATAATCCAGTTCTGCTAAGCCCCACAGAAGCCACACTTACTTCCTGCATTTTGGTCTCCAGGGTACAAATGTAGAACCATAGGAGGGCCTGTGCTTTATCATCCAGAAGCCGATCCTTGGCCTGGGTCTCAGGCCTCACAGACTCCAGAAGCTGTAGGGCTTCCTGGATAGCATCCAGGGCAGAGCTGAAGGGAGAGGATGGACTTAAGCTGGGCCCATGACGAGTACCTGCCATAGTGTCCTGGGAAGGACCTTCTGCAGGATAGCCGGCCCCACCCTTTGAATGAGCGCCCATGGCCACAAACTGAAGTGGCTGCTCAGGGACTTGGGAGAGGGAAACGGCCTCTGAAAAGGGTAAGATGACCTAGGGTGAGAAGCAAGAGTGGCCTCCCCAGCTATTCTTCCTCACCAGTTGGTCTGCTGGGCAAAGTCATGGTAGCAGAGCACCTGAGCCAGTTCCACCAGGTGGGTGGCTCGAGCCCAGGCCCCAGCCGGTGTCTCCTCAGGGCTCAGCTCCAGCAGGTCACAGATGACGTTGAACCGTTCCTGCCCTGTGTCCGCTCGCACAGCCTTATAGGCCTGCAGCTCCTCCCTCAGCAGGAAGACCAGGGTCTCTGGGTCCCAGCCACTCAGGCTGTCTCGCAGAGTCCTAAGAGAAGGCAGGCCCAACGCCATGTCAGGGAGTCCGTGAAGCATGGAGCTTCTGCCCCGTGCCAAGGAGTCCCAGCCGTGGCTTGCTGAGAGGTCACTGACTTCCCAGTCATTAAAGCAAGGGCATTGCCTGTCCCCACTGCTCCCCTATACCTAGCACAGTGACTGTCATATAGTAGGCATTTGATAAATAACAACGAACAGAGGAACCAGTGCCTTTTTTCAGACAGAAGGATACACGAGACCACCAGTACCAAAAGCTAGCCCTAGCCAGGGAGCAAACATGGTTGTCTCCCTCCCTGCCAACTCACCTCAGCTGTAGCTCCTTGTCTCCTGCTCTGGCTGCATCCATCTTGATCCGAACCCAGAAGGTGACAGGCTCAGCCATGTGTTGGGGGCCACAGGGCTGCAGGGCTGTCAGCCACAAAGTCACCATCTCGCAGCCCTGGGCCTGTTTACCCAGTTTCTTCAAACTCTCTCCATGCAGCCGGAAGCACCTGTGCAACTGACCATAGAAAGCAGAGACCAAACTGCAGAGAGGAACCACCGAGTCCGTAATAGTGGGGGAGTACATGCCACACAGGTACATACACCACCAGGTGGTCCGCCAGCCCCCAAGCCTGCCCCAAGGCAGAAGACACCAAAGCACTAAACACCCCAGGGTTCTCAATCTGAGGCTTCAATCCACCCACCCACATATTTATGTCCACAGCCCTAGAAACCCGTTTCTCCTCCTGTAACCCCTCTCTCACAAGTCAGCGTCTTCTCAGTCTGAAATGCCAGGCCATCCTTGACCTTCCCTCCGCACCCCCCCACCCCCACCCCGTCACAGCCAGTCACTTACCAAATTAATCCCGGGCTTCTTGCACCCATTCCCTTCTTCCCATCCCGCAAGACGCTACTTCAGTTCAGATACCCACCCTTTCCGGCCCAGGCTACAAGAGCAGTGGGGGTGCCCACTGTTGTCCTGGTATCTTGTTCATTCACCATAGTGATGCCAGAGAAACTCAAAATGCCAAGCTGATGTCATGCCTTCCTTTGAGAGGCTCATCTGCCTCACTCAAGATGAAAACCAAGGCCCTCTACAACCCATCTCAACTGCCACTCCAGCCAACCCATCATTTCATGGGTCTCCTTGCGATGGTTCTCACTCTGGTTACTTAAAGGGCCTCCTCGGGGAACTTTTAAAATAACCAGATGCGTGGGCTCTAGCACCAGAGATTCTGATGCAAT